GTCTGACGGCCCCACACGGCCCGGGGGCTGCCAGTCCCCAACCTCCCGTGAGCTAACAGGCGACGCTGGCTCGTGGGGGGTGGGGGGGGGGGGCCGAGCAAAGAAGTCCGAACACGGATGGACACAAAATATGTTATTTATTGTCAATTTCTGCAAAGACACGTTTAAGCAACAAAATATACATTTGTCAACCTCTTAGAATTTTGTTTTATACATTAACAAATACAATGTGCTACCGTAGCAATAAATTAAATGTACACTATTTACAGGACATAGGCAGTCAGGGTCCACAAGTCACCCCCTCAGGAAGAGGGAAGGAAGGGGAGTCACCAAAACGGGGGGGGGGGGGGAGCCTCAGGTCCAAGCGGCACCCCTCTGGCCTCCCCGGGCCGGGGTGAGGAAGGGGAGCGCATGACCGGGAGTGCAGGTGCACATGCGAAGGAGCGGGGCGTAGGGGGCACTGATCCTTCGGAGCGGAAATGTCACAAGGTCAAAGACAACAGAGTTGAAGTTCCAGCCTTCCCGCCAGACACCCTGTTCCCGGGGCTGGTAAGGCACAGAGCAGAGCCGCTGCCCCAGCACCTCTCCCCGGGCAGGGCTCCCCATCCTTAGCCCTGCTGGGGCTGTCTCCTTCCCCCCCCCCCCCAGGCTAACAGGGGGGGCACGTGGGTTTGGGTGGGGCAAGGGGCTCGTGACGAAACAGGTATCAGAGCTCGCAGAGAATGCCCCAGGCTGCGGGTCAGGCTTGGCAAACCCCTCTGACCCACCTCGCCCTGAGGGAGGGGTGGCCAGAGGCTGGGAGGAGCCGTGGGGTCCTGAGCGGCCAAGTCCCTGCCAGACACCTGCAGCCCTAAGATCTGCCTGAACCCCAGCCACCCCTCCCCCCCCACCACCACCACCACCACCACCACCACCAACCCTCCTCCGGCGCCTCACGACTGAGTGAAGAAGGTAGTGTTTGCGTTGGCACCTTAAACCGTCAGGGCGAGAAGCCAAAGCTGGCTCCCTCCCATCCCGCCCGGTCACCTGCGTCTACATTTTTACTAGCCAACGTGGCTTAAGGATCGGGGAGAATCGAAGGGTTTTCTTAGCTGAAAAAGAGGAAACGGAGGGCCTGATGACTGCGTCGATGCCCTGGCCTCCACCCCGCTGACACCCGGAGGTGAAGGGGAACAAGCCACTGAGATCTGCCTTCCCGCCCCATCTTCCAGGCCCGAAGCTGCACCCAGAGCCCCAGGGCCCCAGCACCCTGGGACAGCCCCACCAGCACCCTGGGCGGCTCACACCCCCAGCCAGGGCCCAGACCCGGCTCCTCAGCTCCCACAGCTCCAGGCCCCGGCACCTGCCGCCACGAGGGCGGCGCCGGGGACGGGCCTGGGCTGCGTGCTCTCGGCCCAGCTTTGCCGCTGGCGGGTTAGGGGGCCTCACAAGTGACACTCCCCTCCCGGGGGCTGCAGCTTCTCCTCCCGACGATGCCCTGGCTGGATTCGATGCTCCAAGAAGCCCGGGAGGCACGGACAGCAAGATGCTCCCAGCAAGGCTGAGCCACAGGATTGTCCTCAGGAAACACCGCGTTCGCTCATGACAGAAACTCCAGCCGAGACCTCGCAGCTCTTCCCGCCTCATCCGAGCAGAGGCACCCAGGTGCCCGCAGAGCCCACAGGCAGTGTCCTCCGGAGCCAGGCGGTTCCCGCAGCCAGAGATGTGAGCGGGAACATTCCTCCTCTGTGTGTGTGTGGGGGGGGGGGAGCCCCTCGGGTATCAGCATGAGCACCATGGGGGCGAGTCTAGTCACAAGGACCCATGAGGCTTCCGCACATCTCTGAGCCCCGAGACTGGGCGCAGCAATAAAAGGAAAGACATCTGAGGCCAGAGCAGGTGCAAGGAGACCATCCAGGCACTCGAGCTGCCTGCCCCGAGGTCCGAGGGGGGGGCGGGGGGGGGGATGGCGACTGTGGGCCCGCTTCCCCTCTCCTCCCCCCCTCGCCCTGGCCATTACACTCTGGAAGCTACAGGATGGACTTGTTAAAGATGGTGACGCAGACACAGAGGGAGGGACCCTTCAGATCCTTCCCAGGCACCCCGTTAGCAGAGGGCAGACCCACTGCTCAGCCTGCGATTCCAGGAGCAGGACCTGTGCCTCTCGGTTTCCGGGACACGCCCAGCCCCCCTGACCCCGGGCTCAGAGGCAGGAGCAAGGCCCTCCCAGGAGGCGGGGGCTGCAGGGGGAGGTGGGGGGCGAGCTGTGGGGGAAGGTGGGTATGAGGTTCCCAAGCAGGACAGACTAAGGACTCCCTGGAAACCCCAGAGGACACACACACACACACACACACACACACCCGCCCAGACCACGAGCCCAGCACCACCACCCAGCAGCTGCAAACACCAGCTCTCCAGAGAAGCAAGCCAGAGCCTGGGGTTGTTTTTAAAGAAATGCAATTGGACCTTCCAAGTTCCTCCAGAAAGCCAGCCAGCGGGGCGCCGCCAGGACCTGCAGCTCTCGGTGCCGCTGCGGGAACATTTGATCAGCGCCACGCAGGCGTCTGCTGACCTTCTAACCGGAACAAACTCCACGGGGCTGGGACTTTAAGTGAACACGTCCCCCAGCCGGGGTGAGGGGAGAGGCCCCGCGGCCTGCAGACCGGGTCCCACAGGGCCCACCTGCGTGGGGGACAAAGGGCCGAGGCTTTGCTCTCACTGCCAACGCAGCGGGGACGTGGCCCCAAAAGCAGGTGTGATGTTTACAGGCCTTGACTCAGGAAGAAGCCCAGATCCGAAGCAGATGAAGCACTGACTGGGCTGGAGAACCCTGCCAGCTGCCCGTCAAAGCCCCGGGTGCACTTCAAACCGAGGCACCTCCGAGGGTCTGCTCTTCAGGCTCCGCTCTACCTGGAGGACACCCGGAAACCACCGAGGACTCGGGGCGAGAGCAGCCAGGAGGGGGCTGCCCACAGAGAGCACGCTGGCTCACCCCAGGGAGGTGGCTCTGGCTGAGGGGCCCTGGCAGGCGGTGTCTCAGCTGCACCAGCCAGGGCCCAGGCTGCAGGAATCCCACCGTGTGGCAGCTGTACACCCACCGTGGGAAAGGGGGAGACGAGGGGGGGAGGGGTGGAAATTGAGCCTGACAGCCAAAGGGCACAGCCCCCAGCAGCACTGGACGTCCCAGAGATCCCCGAACATAAACGCAGAAGGAGCTGCCCCTTCCCCTCATCTGAGTCCTCCCTCCTCGCCAAGGCCTGACTGCACCGGAGTCCTCCCACCTCCCCTCCCCGCTCTCACCAACGAACCTACAAACCTCCGCCACCAGCGGGGACTGGGATCCTGGCCTGGCCTGGGTCTCAGAGTCTCCAGCCGAGGCCCAGGCGCTCACTGCCTCGCTCCCTCCCAGCGCCTCCTCTCCCGGCACCCACCTCTCCGTGGGAAAAGCATCTGCTCAAAGGGAGAGACTGGCTCCGGCCTCTCCCACAGCAACCACGCAGGGAGCCTGCGTGAATGAGGCCACGAGGAAGAGTGTGGTGCCCGCTCCCACATGCCCAGCCCTGGGGCAGCTTCACCCGGCCATGCCCGATGCCCAGGCAGCAGGGACAGAGGCCCAGGCCGGCAGCTGCTGTGGGCAGGGGGGGAAGAAGCTCCTAGCACAGACGCAAACAGATGCTGGGAGCTCCAGAAACGTGGGAGTGACAGAGCCAACTTCTACCTGCCGACACCTTCAAGGAGCTACAGAGTCGGCTCCTGGAAAAGTGCTCCCTCCAGCTCACAAAATGCCCCCGCCAGGACCCTTTGCTCTCCCCCCCACCCCTACCAGGCTCGGCCTCTCGGCTCTCTGAGTCCCCAGTACCCAGACCCAACACTGGCTGCTGCAGACAAAAACAAGGTAACCAGTGACCCAGACACACAGCACGTGGGGGTCAGGAGCAGGGGAGCCCGGAGGAATGAGGCCTTGTCCAGAGACAGGGAGGGGCTGGCAGGGTGTCTTGACAAAGGAGCGGGCGGGGCTGTGCTGGTCGGGGCACTGGGACAGGTAGCTGGTCGGTCTGGCGAGCAGGTGGCCGACGGAGCCACAGGCCTGTGACGGTCAGAGTAGTGAATGGCACCCCCAGACTGCTGGGATCGGAGCCTTCTCCAAGACAGAATCGGGGTTCCCTGGAGGAGACAAGGAGGAGGGAGGTGATCAGACACTGGTGGAGGAAGGAAGGGCGGACACGGGTGCCCACGGCCATAGCCCGTGGATATGCTGGGGCAGGAGGGGCCCACCCAGGGCGCCCGGCGTCAGACTGCCGAGCAGGCGGGCATCGGCGGGAACCTGGTGAGCAGGGTCTGCAGTGCAGGATGGGAGTGAGCGCACCGGCACCCCCAGCTCACCTGCCTTTTTACAGATGAGGTTTGTGCAAATGGGCTCAGCTCTGCCCCTCCCCTTGGTCCCAACTGTGACCTCAGCCCTGCAGCCCCGTAGCAGGGAGAATCAGGGATCTCTGCTAATCCACCAGCACATGTTCGGGCCTCGGGGGAGGGAGCTGGGCCCAGCCCGATCTGCTGAAAACCACACTCTCCTGCCCGCCCCCCCGACCGACCGACCGGCTGTGGCTGCCAGCAGGGTCCTCCCTCGGGCAGCGCAGTGGTTAGGGTGCTGAGGTGGCTCTGGACACCCGGAGAGGAGAGCTCAGCCCAGGGCCCTGGGAAAGGCCGCTGATGGCAGAGAGGCAGGGGCTGACGGACGCCTCTCCCTCCAGGAGAGGAAGCAGTGCTGGGCGCCTGGCCCAGCCAGGCTCCTCTGGGGCCAACTCAGTGAGTCCGGCCCAGACCCACACAACCCTTCCCACCCACGCCGAGGCCGCCGCCTCCCTCCCATCCCGGCCCAGCACAGAGGCTTCGGAAGAGGCGACGACCACCCCCCTCCCCGGCCGGCAGGGTCTCGGGACAGTGCCGGGTCAGCAGGCCCCGTGGCCGCCGCAGGACAAACACCTGACCCACCTTTGACAGGCGAAGTCTCCTCTTTCGCATTAGTGACCCTGTTCCAAGGAAAACCCATGTGAGAGTTTTATAAAACGAGGCAACATAACCCCTGCCGACGGCACCTTCCGTGCGCCCAGCTCTCCGCTCTCCGGGCAGCTCGGAAGGGATCCGAGGCCCCAGGAGCCAATGGTTCACAGCTCACGTCTGTGTGTCCGAGGGTGTGGCTCTCACACGGGGGCGCGGGGCAGAGGTGGCTGGCGACCCCCAGGCTGCTGCCCGCACCACGCGGGACCCACAGCCTCACCCCCCCTCCCACCCCTCGATGGGACCAGAGGTTCCTCCAAACCCCCCGACCCCCCGCCCCACTGTGACAGGCCCCAAGAAGGAAGGCTGGCTGGGAGGAGGCTGGGATGTGGGATGCGGGAGGCTCCCCCTGATGCCCCCACGCCCCTAGGTCCTTACCGCACTGGAGCTCGCGTGGCTGAGCTTATCAAAGCGGAATTTCAGGTTTGACCTCGGGGAATTTCTGCCTTTGGCATCTAGGAGAAAGAATGCCCATGGAGAGGGTGGGGCTGTGGCGGGCAGGGGCTGCCGGGGAACTGGGCAGGGAGTGTCCCCAGGAGACACTGTATCAGACGCATCAATTCACAAGAGCCAACCCTTACATTTTTACAAATGTTGTGAGCTGCTTGTTAGTTACACACACAGTCACAAGCTTAGCCCTGGTTTGTGTGCTCAATGGTTAGAGCCGCAGCCTGCACTATTCCTTGCCAAGGGCATGTCCCTGGGTTGCAGGTTGATCCCCAGCCCTAGTATGAGGCATATGCAGGAGGCAACCCAGCAATGTATTTCTCTCACATCAATGTTCCTCTCCCTCTCTCTTTCTTCCTCCCTCCTTTCCACTCTCTCTAAAAAAAAATCAATGGAAAAAAATATCTTCCGGTGAGGATTAATTTTAAAAAATTAATTATAAGCTTATAATTAAGTGATATTCGTCAAAGGTAATAAATACTCAAAAGCCATCGCTTCCTCGTTATTTCACTGTATTTTACCACTCCCTATTCCTTTAAGGTTATTTACGTCAGTCACGTCGGTGGCTTGAGATCAGCAAATGCTACAAATCAACCTGATCTGCTGTTTTGTTGCCGAGACTTCGGAAACTGAAGGAGAGAATATTAGTAACATAGACGCAACATGAAAGTGTATGTGTCTATAGCATTACGAATAACACGGAAAATTCTCCCGGTATTTGAGGCCTGGGAAGGCTGAGGAACGTGTCCAGTGTCACATGGCTCGTCAGTGGTGGACCAGGGTCCTGTGCTTGCCCCTACCCCACCGTGCTGCCCTCCTGGAGGGCTGGACCAAGGCTCTGACTTCTGGGCACCCACAGAGCCCATCAGTGCCTACCAGGCACATGCCCCTCAGGTGCCAACCTTCACCCTCTACCCAGAGCCGGCTCCTCCTACTCTGTCCAACTGTGGGGAATCTCAGGACCCCAAGGCCCAGACTCCTTGCTCTCTCTGAAGCCCCCGCTACTGAGCCCCAAAGATTTACCTCCTTGGCTTCTCTCCAATCCAATGCTCCCTCACCCCACAATCCATGCCCATCACCCCCACCACTCACTGTGACCCTCTCGGATCTTCCCCCTGCACCTGCTCCCACCAGTCCTTCTCCTGGCCCCGCTGCAGCCACAAAACGGTCTTTCTCAACCCCAGATGGCGCTTCTCTGCTTAGGAACCTTCAGAGACTTGAGACCTTCCCATGGCTCCCACTGCCTGTAGGACAGAGCCCAAATCCTCACCAGGGGCAGCCCTGGCCCTGTCCCCTAACCATGGCCTCCTTCTCACCTTCTCCTGTCCCCCTGGCCCTGTCCCCTAACCACTGTCCCCTCTCACCTGTCCCCTGTCCCCCTGGCCCTGTCCCCTAACCACTGTCCCCTCTCACCTGTCCCCCGTCCCCCTTACCCTGTCCCCTAACCACTGTCCCCTCTTACCTGTCCCCTGGCCCCCTGGCCCTGTCCCCTAACCACTGTCTCCTCTTACCTGTCCTGCCACCATTGTGAACTCCAGCCCCCTGACCCACGTGTGGTTCCAGATCACAGCCTCTCAGTTCCCTGCAGGCCTCTCGTGTGCTGTTGTTCCCTCCACCTGCAGCGCTCTCCCCACCCGGTACCCTGGCATTCTGAGGACCATCGCTGTGATGGGGGCCCTGAGTCGGAGATGGGGAGGAGCGAGAGGTCCGTGGAAGGAGCTTTCGACTCTCACAGTCCCAGCGCCTCTCTGAGCTCGTTCCCGTGAGTAACGAGAGGACGAGAACAGGCCCCGGAGGCGGATGCGGGGCAGACCCAGTGAGGGACCACAGCTCGAGGCCTCACACCCGGGTTGGACCGAGACCGGCCAGTTCCGGACGCCGGGCTGGCGCCCCACACACACAGTGCTCAGGACCCGGCCACGTGGCACACACCAACCTGTCGGGCTCCGGCTCATGATGATGGGCGTGGTGGCTGCCCCCAGGCTGGGGCTCTCGCTGCTTGGGGACGAGCTGTAGACAAACACCTCCTGCTTGAAGGGCGAGGTTGTGGACGGCTGGCTGCTCTGGGGAGAGAGGCCGGGTGAGCGAGGCGGGCCCACCCTCAGCGGACCCAGCAGCCCCTGCCCCCCACTGCCCCCCACTGCCCACGTGGACACGCTCTTTCCTCCCGCGGCCTCCAGCCCTGGCTCCCTCCAGCCCCAGGCAGGGCCCCTGACCACACCCAGGCAGCGCTGAGCCCTCTCCTCTCCGGCCCAGAACCCCACGGCAGGGACACGCTCAGCCTGACCTCTGACCCTCTGCCGCTGCTGCTCCCTGTCACCCCAGGGAAACCCCAAACCGCCGCTCCCAGAGGGTGGAAACGGCTGCGTGGGTCACCTCTTGCTTCCATACTCCCTCCCCCGCCGCCTCCCCCTCTCCCCCCTGCTCCCCCTGAGCCTGGGGGGCTCTGCCAGGAGGAGCGGTGGGCCCAGGGCCTCCCCACGGCCAGGCTGGCCGGGCCGCACCTACCCCACTGTCACACTCCTCCATGGCCTCGCCCTCCCCGGCCGTGCTGCTGAAGCTGCTGGTGCTGGAGGAGGAGCGGGAGATGTTGGCCCGGCCGTTCTCCTTCAGCTTCATGAAGGGCCTGCAGGGGCGGGAAGGCGGCCCTGGTCACACGCAGGGGACCGAGGCAGGGCAGGGCCCCAGAGACCGAGTGTCTCCCCATGCCCTGCCCGCTGGCTGGTGCGTCCCAGGGAGTCCCCCAAGCGGGAGGGGCCGGAGCAGAGACCTATTCCAGGGCCCGCGGGGCGAGAGCCGGCCTCCCCGCCTCCCAGCCTCCCCGGCCTCCCCGCCTCCCGGGCTCCCAGTCTCCTGGCCGCACTCTTACTTCTCCTTGCTGGGACAGATCTCCGGGGAGCTGGGGTTGGACGAGGTCTCGGACTTTATCTCCTGCGAAGAGTGCCCGCCGTCCACAGTCTTGGGGTTGCTGGATGCACTGTCACTGAAGCGATGAGGATGAAGAGGGGTGAGCCGGTTCCCCACTCCCACCTCACCCAGGCCTGAGACTGCACCAAGGGGGCCTGTGGGGTCACAGCATCCCCGACAAAGCACAGCCACCAAGCCACCTATCCCACCCGTGCCCCTCAGAGAGCAGGGTTTTCTGCTTTGCCAAGTGCCTCCCCTGCAGGCTCCTGGGTGAGGGTCCAGAGCTACCAGGCAGGAGTCCTGGCTTGATGCCCCGGAGCCCAAGTCCATCCCAGCTGGCAGAGCTCTAGGTCAAGGGCAGGCCACAGAGGGAATGGAGTGAGGTCTGGGCCATCCACCATCACAGCCAGCGCACACGCACCCCGCGGGGCCTCGGCTGCTGCAGAAGGCCAGGGGGCGCCCTTCCCACAGACTACAAGTGGCTCCCGGATGTGTGTGCTGAGAGCTGGGAAGGGCTTCTGGGCAAACAGGCTGCTCCAGCCAGGGCCACAGCTTTCCTTCCATAGCTTAACAAATGCCACAAACCTGCCCACCAGTTGCTCGGTGCCCACTGTTGGGGCCCTGTCCCTAATGTACTTTTATGTTCATGACAGCTTCACGGACATACAATCCGCATACAACTCACTCACTCAAACGGTGCGGCTCAAAGGTTTTTCGTATATTCACAACCATGACCACCATCTAATTTTAGAACTTTTCTACCCTCCCTCAAAGAAACCCCCCAGACCCACCCTCATCCCTCCCCCCCACACCTCCCTCCCGGCCCCTGACAGAATCTACTTCCTGTCCCCATGGATTTGCCTATTCTGGACATTTCATGTGAATGGAGCCATACAACATGGTGTGGCCTTTTTGCGAATGGCTTCCTTCACTCAGCTGGTGTTTTAAAGGCTCATCTACGTTGCAGCAGGTGTCCATCATACATCACTCCTCCTTACTGCAAGACAACACTTCCTTTCTTGGGTGGACATGTGGATTGTTCACGCTTGGGGCTACTCTGACAACGCTGCCACGGACACCCGTGTGCCGGTGCTTATGCAGACACGTGTGTTCTTTCCCTTGCGTGTGCACCTGGCGGGGACTTGCTGGGCCTGATGGCAACTCCACGGTTAACCCTATGAGCTGCCAGGCCGTTCTCCAAAGCAGCCTCGCCAGTTCACATTCCCACCAGCCGGGCACGAGGTTCCGATTTCCCTCCCTCCTTGCCAGCATTGCCTTCTTGTCTTCCGTATTCTAACCGTCCTGGAGGCAGGAAGTGCCCAAGGTTCTTCTAATGAGGTCACCAGGGACCTCCTCATGGTCCACCCGGCAGGGGCTGGGGTCACTGTGCCAGACTTCTCTGCTCAGCTGCCAGGCGGGCCTCCCTCCTGCAAGGTCTCCTGCCCTGGCTTCTGAGGGACCCCCTCCCAGGCTCTCTTCCTCCTCGCTCCCCTGCCTTCCCGGTCTTTTGCACTGGCTCTGCCTCCTTTCTCCACTTGCCCTTAAGTGCTGGTGTTCCCCAGGCATTCTCTACACCGCCTTGGGCGAGCGTATTCATTGATTCATCTTAAGTACCACTTCCCCCCTTTCCTCCCTTCCCCCCCTTCCCCGTGACTCCCATCTCTCCTTCTTCAGTCACCGCCTCTCTCCCAAGCTCAGGACCAGCGATTCTGACCACTCAGAGCTCTGGGGCTCCCTACTGACAAGGACTCACTCACACACACAGCTTCCAAACAGCTCTGCATCCTCCTCCTCCATCACCGCCCTCGTCCTGCGTGCCCACGCCCGGGGCTGGTGCCACCGCCAGGGCTACAGGAAGACACTTGTACACGAGGAGGTCAACCTGCCTGCCTCCCTTTCCTTCTTGAGACTGTAAGCTCCTGGAGGGCAGGTTTGTGTCTTTGGAGCTCCTATCTGAGCACTGAGCCCCTACGTGCCAGGCACCGGAGGGATGCTGCATGCCGAATTAAACACCAGGTGGGCTCCCTGACTAAAGGATCCGAAAGGCAATTAGCAAGGACATAGGGGAGGAAGCACTGAATGAGTGACGGGGACATAGGGGAGGAAGCACTGAATGAGTGACGGGGACGTGGGGGAGGAAGCACTGAATGAATGACAGGGACATAGGGGAGGAAGCACTGAATGAGTGATGGGGACATAGGGGAGGAAGCACTGAATGAGTGATGGGGACATAGGAGAGGAAGCACTGAATGAGTGATGGGGACATAGGGAGGAAGCACTGAATGAGTGATGGGGACATAGGGGAGGAAGCACTGAATGAGTGACAGGGACATAGGGAAGGAAGCACTGAATGAGTGACAGGGACGTGGGGGAGGAAGCACTGAATGAGTGACGGGGACATAGGGGAGGAAGCACTGAATGAGTGACGGGGACGTGGGGGAGGAAGCACTGAATGAATGACAGGGACATAGGAGAGGAAGCACTGAATGAGTGACAGGGACATAGGGAGGAAGCACTGAATGAATGACAGGGACATAGGGGAGGAAGCACTGAATGAGTGATGGGGACATAGGGGAGGAAGCACTGAATGAGTGATGGGGACATAGGAGAGGAAGCACTGAATGAGTGATGGGGACATAGGAGAGGAAGCACTGAATGAGTGATGGGGACATAGGGAGGAAGCACTGAATGAGTGATGGGGACATAGGGGAGGAAGCACTGAATGAGTGACAGGGACATGGGGGAGGAAGCACTGAATGAGTGACAGGGACATAGGGAGGAAGCACTGAATGAATGACAGGGACATAGGGGAGGAAGCACTGAATGAGTGATGGGGACATAGGGGAGGAAGCACTGAATGAGTGATGGGGACATAGGAGAGGAAGCACTGAATGAGTGATGGGGACATAGGAGAGGAAGCACTGAATGAGTGATGGGGACATAGGGAGGAAGCACTGAATGAGTGATGGGGACATAGGGGAGGAAGCACTGAATGAGTGACAGGGACATGGGGGAGGAAGCACTGAATGAGTGACAGGGACATAGGGAAGGAAGCACTGAATGAGTGACAGGGACGTGGGGGAGGAAGCACTGAATGAGTGACAGGAACATAGGGGAGGAAGCACTGAATGAGTGACAGGAACATAGGGGAGGAAGCACTGAATGAGTGACAAGGACATAGGGGAGGAAGCACTGAATGAGTGACGGGGACGTAGGGGAGGAAGCACTGAATGAGTGATGGGGACATAGGGGAGGAAGCACTGAATGAGTGACAGGAACATAGGGGAGGAAGCACTGAATGAGTGACAGGGACATAGGGGAGGAAGCACTGAATGAGTGACAAGGACATAGGGGAGGAAGCACTGAATGAGTGACGGGGACGTGGGGGAGGAAGCACAGGGACATAGGGAAGGAAGCACTGAATGAGTGACGGGGACGTGGGGGAGGAAGCACTGAATGAGTGACAGGAACATAGGGGAGGAAGCACTGAATGAGTGACAGGGACGTGGGGGAGGAAGCATTGAATGAGTGACAGGAACATAGGGAGGAAGCACTGAATGAGTGACAGGGACATAGGGAGGAAGCACTGAATGAGTGACAGGGACATAGGGAGGAAGCACTGAATGAGTGACAGGGACATAGGGGAGGAAGCACTGAATGAGTGACAGGGACATAGGGAGGAAGCACTGAATGAGTGACAGGGACATAGGGGAGGAAGCACTGAATGAGTGACAGGGACATAGGGAGGAAGCACTGAATGAGTGACAGGGACATAGGGGAGGAAGCACTGAATGAGTGACAGGGACATAGGGGAGGAAGCACTGAATGAGTGACAGGAACATAGGGGAGGAAGCACTGAATGAGTGATGGGGACGTGGGGGAGGAAGCACAGGGACATAGGGAAGGAAGCACTGAATGAGTGACAGGGACATAGGGGAGGAAGCACTGAATGAGTGACAGGGACACAGGGAGGAAGCACTGAATGAGTGACAAGGACATAGGGAGGAAGCACTGAATGAGTGATGGGGACATAGGGGAGGAAGCACTGAATGAGTGACAGGGACATAGGGGAGGAAGCACTGAATGAGTGACAGGGACATAGGGAGGAAGCACTGAATGAGTGACAGGGACATAGGGGAGGAAGCACTGAATGAGTGACAGGGACATAGGGAGGAAGCACTGAATGAGTGACAGGGACATAGGGGAGGAAGCACTGAATGAGTGACAGGGACATAGGGAGGAAGCACTGAATGAGTGACAGGAACATAGGGGAGGAAGCACTGAATGAGTGACAGGAACATAGGGGAGGAAGCACTGAATGAGTGACAAGGACATAGGGGAGGAAGCACTGAATGAGTGATGGGGACGTGGGGGAGGAAGCACAGGGACATAGGGAAGGAAGCACTGAATGAGTGACAGGGACATAGGGGAGGAAGCACTGAATGAGTGACAGGGACACAGGGAGGAAGCACTGAATGAGTGACAAGGACATAGGGAGGAAGCACTGAATGAGTGACAGGAACATAGGGAGGAAGCACTGAATGAGTGACAAGGACATAGGGGAGGAAGCACTGAATGAGTGATGGGGACATAGGGGAGGAAGCACTGAATGAGTGATGGGGACATAGGGAAGGAAGCACTGAATGAGTGACAGGAACATAGGGGAGGAAGCACTGAATGAGTGACAGGGACATAGGGGAGGAAGCACTGAATGAGTGACAGGGACATAGGGGAGGAAGCATTGAATGAGTGACGGGGACGTGGGGGAGGAAGCACAGGGACATAGGGAAGGAAGCACTGAATGAGTGACGGGGACGTGGGGGAGGAAGCACTGAATGAGTGACGGGGACGTGGGGGAGGAAGCACTGAATGAGTGACGGGGACGTGGGGGAGGAAGCACTGAATGAGTGACAGGAACATAGGGAGGAAGCACTGAATGAGTGACGGGGACATGGGGGAGGAAGCACTGAATGAGTGACAAGGACATAGGGGAGGAAGCACTGAATGAGTGACAGGAACATAGGGGAGGAAGCACTGAATGAGTGACAGGGACATAGGGGAGGAAGCACTGAATGA